TTAGTTTGAAGATAATCGAATGAGTCGAATAATTCGAAAATACGAAGTGAAGGTGTTGTTTTTGGAATTTTTATTTTTGTCTAATTTACTATCCGCAGATGAAGGTCGAATAACAAGTTGTTGGAAGCACACGACTCTCGTTTAAAAATCAGATTAAAAATGTTTCAGTGATAATGTGTATAGATCTTCTGGCTATTTTGTCCAATAAATTTTAGGATTTGATAAGTATTCAGAGTCCAATCTAAGCAAAAGTATACAGGGTGAGTCAAAGTAAAACCAACAAACTCCGTCTAAAGATTCCTCACCTCATTTTATGCTGAAGAGTTTCCCTGAGATACAGGGTGTCAGAAAAACGAAACAAAACTATTTTCTTAAACTCCTGGAGAGAAAAATTTCAATGTGGTTATATTTTCCTTCATATTTTCTTTCTACAACTGAATTGACAAATGTGCTTTTGATGTCAGTTAGGTCTTCGATATTTAACCTAAAAGTCATAACATTCCATTCGTCTAAAAATGAAGGTATTTGCGAAAAACTGAAGATATGTCTTGAGCCTTTTTTGTTTCTATGTAGTGTACCTCAATACACCGTTTCTATCATTTGAGTAGATATTGATATACAATAATTGTTTTTCTTTACCTAAAAGAAGATATTTGGAAAATGTTTTCCTAGATAATTCAGTATGAAATGACTTTGATGATGATACTCCAAAATGAAATTTAACAAATTGAAAGTACCTATTTTCAGATTTTCGCTAATATTATTTCAGGATTCAACTCTCATCTAACAGTAGTATTAAAATTTGAGGCTAGGTTTGTCAATTGATGTTTCAAAATAATCATTATGCAAAAATGGATGGTCACATATCGGTGAATTTACAAAATCGATTTTTTCAAATAATAGGACGAATTTAAAAAACGGAGTTTGTCGGTCTCATTCTGACTTACCTGAACTATATTTCGCCGTGTTTGTCTGTCTGAACGTAATAAATTCAAAAACTCTCGAATGGAGTTTCATAGCGTTTTCACCAATGGATGGAGTAATTCAAGAGAAAGGTGTTATTTGCATATCTAATTCATTAATGCTTTGTGCGATGGCACATATATGTCTGTCTTTCTTTCAAGGATAGCTTACTACGCCCATCTCAATGTCTAAAATAATTGTTTCTAGTAATGTGGTAATTGGAAAGCTATTTAAACGAATATGAATTTTTAACGTATTGAATACGTTATTTGCCGCAAACATTTCGTGCACATCAAAATTGTCCTTAGAGCAATTTGTGTAAACATCATACAATTCAAATTGGTCGTTGCTCACACTGCGAGATATAACTTTCGTCCTCGCAGTCAACGCAGTCTGCCGCACTAGCAGATGAAACATTTGGTGGTTTGGGCAAGTGTTCCCTTCGACCACGGCCAACACGCGTATAAAACAAAGATTACAATTTCGTTGGTTTTGTGTGAATCATTGTGAAGAATGAGATCGTATTATGTTTTGTGTTCTATTCAGATATGTATACACCTGTTTCACAGTATTTCTGTATATACAAAATACTGTGCCTGTTTGATATGAAACTGTGTGGTAGTTGAGATGAATAGATAAACTTCATCTCATGAAAGGGTTTGCTGAAATGAATAAAAAAAATAATATATGAACTATGGCGGACCGCTCAACAATGCCTTGAATGTATGTTTGTATGTGAAGGTGAAATTTGACCCACTTCCCGGTGTCCGATTGAGCTGAAATTTTACATACTGGTCCAGTCCCGATGACATTGCATGTTTACGAAAAGCATAACGTGATGCTGCTTCAGGATTAACTCCAGACGAGGAAACTCCTAAACGGTTAACGGTAACAGGGACATGAAATTTTGCACACCCATTTGGGTGGAACATTGTGTAAATCAACTAACAACTTAAGTAACTTGATCTGATTGACTTTAATTAAAAAATAACCAAGTTCAAACTGAGTAATACGAGTGCTTAAATCTCGCGACAAGCTTTTGTATCATATAAATTGTATAATTACGTTATAAGTTGATGGTAAAAATTTTAAAGGAAAATTTGACTCCAATTTATATCGTGCAGTACTGAGGCTAAATCTTAAAGAAAGTTTCATCATGCGATTATTACACACTGGATGTTAGGTATCTTCTCAAGACATATCTTCAGTTTTTCGCAAATATCTCAGAAACCTTCACTTTCAGGCAAATGGAATGTTTTAGGTCGAGTATCGATGATCCTATAACTGATGTCAAAAGCTCATTTGTCAATTCAGTTATCCAAAGAAAATATCAGGAAAAATATGACCACATACCATCGTAACTACTCCACTGGTTTAAAATTAGAACTTCAAATCATCACGTTAATGAACCTTGATTACTGCACCAAGTTTGGAATTTTTTCCTCAAGGGTTTCAGAGAAAAAAAATCTAAATTTTTTTTCTTTCTTTTGACACCCTGTATCTCAGGGTGCATTTTAGGACATACCTTAATAGAAACTTTTCATCTCAAAATGAGGTGAGGAATCTGTAGTCGGAGTTTGTCGGTTTTATTCTGACTCACCTTGTGTAGTGATTATACGTTCTTCAAATATCCGGAAATCAAGTGTAATAACAAAAAGCGCTCCATTGTTGGATATATCCTCTGATTATTTCATAAGAAACCTATTGTGTTTGTGAGTTGCATATATGGATGTGTAAGAAAGGAAATGGGTACTGTTGATTGAATTCATAACGATGGCGTAGGTACGGAAGGTATAGAGGGTGTTTATCAAATGATTATTGGATAATTTCAACAGACTGAAGGAACATAAAAAAAGGAAAGAAAGGAAAGTTGTTCGTTCCTCCTGCACTATTTTATAACCCCAGTTTCAGGTTGTGAATCAAACAGAACATTAAGCGCCCTTTCACACGGGGTGCTCCACCGCTCCCGAGACAGAGAGAGAGAGAGAGGAAGGCTCTTAGCGCCAAAATGCAACGTCTCCAGCACCTCGAGCCGGGGAGCCGCGTCTCTTCAAAATGCAAAAGATGAGTGAGCTTCCACACGAGGAGTGAACATGGCTCTCCCTCGTTGACGCTTCACATTATTTATCATGGCAGATTGCTCTGTGGAGCTGTTAATTAGTACTGTCTGCAACCGACCCGCTCTTTGGGCTTTGGGATATAGTCTGGACATTTATAAGGACCGAAATGAAGTCGCAAAAAGTTTGATGGAAGTGTGCAAGGTGCTCAAAGTGAATTTCGCAACTTTATCCATCCCATTCATGATCGTTGACGTTTCTGTCATCGAGATTTGTGTCTACGGTAGATACAGCAGCCTATATGGCAGCAGCTCGCGTGCGATTCATTTTAGGTAGGTAAGAGTGATACACGCTCCCGTATAAGAGCGAGAGACGTGAAGCTTCCCGTGTGAAATAGTTCTTACGAAGATGATTTTGATCTACATATTTCGTTTATTTTATTCCAAAATAATTTTCTGCGGTGTTTCAGCAAATTTATTTATTCGGTATAAATATCGTTTTTAATCATAATTATTCAAGATAGAGTTTCTTCTTAATAATAAATCATTAAATTGTTTCTGTTGCTGGATAAGAAAACGTTACTTGACCATCTCAATTGCAGTTACTTGTACTCAACTACGGTTTTAAATATACCCCTTTCAATTCAAACAACGTTCCTATGGCTGAGATTGAATCGAATAAACTTGTGAATGATATTACGTACTGTCGTCTTGGCATGAGTAGATTTAACTCATCCGTGACATGAAGTCGGAATTTTGTCAATGAATTGAGTCCTCCATCTTGTAATGTTATCCAGATCGGTACTGATGAGGTAATAAGATTAATGTTTAAATAGAAAGGGATATTTTTAGGAGATATTAGTTTTTAAGGAAAAAAGCTTTTTGGTTTTCACTTCTCCATCTTTATACAAAAAATAATACAGGAGTTACTGTCAGATGCAAACTGGAAAAAAGTCTTCTTATTCATGATTTTACTCATCTTTGAAAATACTCTATTTTGATATTAATTGTTTTCTTTCTTCCTTCAGGAGTTTCCCTTATTTTCACTAATCTGGCTCTATGATATACTCTTTTTAATTAATATGCTAATAGTCTTATATAACTTTTCAAATTATATTTTGTATTGACTTTTGTCGTTTTAGTTTTCATGTTAGGGTTCAAATTTTCATATTTTTGAAATATGATTCACTCAACAGTTTACTTCTAACCGCTTTCAGGACTTTTTTACTTTGCTCCGCTTTTGATTTTGCATTGTATTCGACTGGTTAATTATTATATTTATTCAGTTTCACTTCAATACTTTTTTTTTAATGAACAACTTTCCTTCACGTGGCCATGTATTGTGTACTTATTATAATGATATAACAGTCGTTTCAACGTGATAAGGGTATCCATTATGGGTAATTGTTAATGTCTGTATTTCGTGAATGACAATCTTGAATATTTCCTTATGTCTACCTAGTTATCAATTTCAACTGTATAAGACACACAGACACACTATTGTAATTCTCCAACATCCGAAATGTTCAATGCATCCAGCAAGTATGATGTTCTGTTCTGTTCTTTCATCGAGTACAGAAAAGCAGAGTTTTCGGTGTAAAACTGTTCGGTTATTATTTTACAATTATAGGCAGACTTGAATGTCAGCTGTAGCCAAATTGAAACTATTTCCGATGTTTTCTTGAATATATACCTTGACCTGTTTCTGACAAGGTCATTCTCATGTTTGTATTTACTCATATGAACACCTGTAAACCGACTGTTATCAATATCGAAAAATAATTGAAATGACACATATTTCGACAGTTTACCGACTATCACGATAATACTCGATTTGAATATTTTAATAATTGCCGAATTTCTTGCATAATACACAATAAGTATTATGCCTCTATTAGTAAGATATGTATTTGTTTGTTGGAACAGAAATGAAAAATTAAAAATAAGTTCCAAGTGAACGGCGATAATCGAGTATCCTCACCTCTGGGCATTCCACAAGGAGGTTTTGTCCTCGAACTGTCCAAAAAATCCAAATCGTACTTCCTAGCCGGGGGATAAGTCAAGGCCACGTGTCCTGAGGATGGGTAAATCCAAAAACACACCACCAGAAATACACAAACTGGACCCATCAGAGTCCTTCCGGGCGCGAAAGTTTGTACCATATTGGTGACGACACTGATCGCGAACACCTCCAGATAGTCCCGTAAGAAGGTACCTATCTTCGCGTACCCGCTGAACTCGAAGAACTGAACAGAACTGAGAATTATTTCGTTCTTACGAACTTTCCGCATCTCTCTCTAGAGAACGAGAAATCATCGAGTGAGAAAGTTGAAATCATTACTGTCGGTGTTTCAGTTGAGGAAGGTGAGAAACCGTTCTCGTTTCGGACACGACAAACGACGTTACTTTTGTTGAAAAGTCGTTATTAACGATTGATTTAACGAAATCAAATACTATATTTTTTGGAATATTCTGGTATCTACTCATTTATGGGGTGTTTTTTTAAGAGAAAAAAGTTTTAGTTACCCCTGTATAAAAAAAAGGGCGACCCAGTCAAACTATGAACAGAACATGAAAATACACTACTCGTTATAAACCCAAACAATCCTATATATTTGATAACAAATCATTTCAATGAAAGCAATCTAGTTAAAATATAAAGAATATTTCATTAAAAAAAGACAACTTTGACGGTCACACGTTTATCAATCACTTTGTATATTGATTGTTATTTTTGCTGCATAGCTCTCAATACTCTCTATTACTTTTATTCGAAACATTTTTTTATCTTGAATAGGGAAGCCACTATCGTCCACCCACACATCCTTGATAAACTTTGTATATTATATATAGCAACTTAAAGAACTTTATCGTATTTTGATGAATATCAAATGTTCCTGAATTTTCATTTAATAATAATTTCGTTAGCGCTATCAACCAAATTAGGAATAACTCCTGCTTTGTTTTCATTTGAAGTTCATTTTCTTCTTTTTAGAGCATGTATATAAAAGCTTGTTTTTGGTTTCTTTACTATTCTTCTTCTTTCTATTCTTTACTATTAATTTGCCATTTCATTTGATGTGTCATTGTTGCATGATCCCTTATTATATATGTTCGAGCACCACCAAACTATTCATAACATTTGCCTAGTTACTAGTATAAGACTTTTTAAAATATATATGGTGGCTATCTTGTTTGCCGACTTTTAATTTTTTTCCTTGAACCTTCATGCTATTCATACCATGATCGGGATCCATAAAAACATAATCATTATCTTTTTGAATTCCGTCATATTGAATTTAAAATGAAACCATTTTATATTTCGAATTCTTTTCATTTGATACCTATGAGAGTCTGTGTAAAATAACTATTCCGCCATATTCATATTGGATATATAATGATGGCACTCAGCTAACCAAACATTATCAGACAAGTAGGCAAACTCTCAGCAGTTTGGTTGCTTTAAAATTCAGTTGCAAGAGACCCGAACTAACACATACACATATAAGCAAATTAAATAAAAGTTTGTGAAAAATTGCCGATTTATATTCCATTAATTTAACATAGAAATTGGGAAAAGTCAAGAAATCGTTATTATATTTTATAAATGTTTCCTATTCGTATTTATTTTAATTAATTTCATATAAGTAGTTTGAAAATTAGGTGGTTAAAAAACGAAAAATCAGCCTTGTCTGGGTTTCGAACCCCGGAACTCTGTATGCAAGTCTCGAATCAAATCAAAAACCAGTTATTAATTATTATTAAATACACATCTACATTTCCCAATGTCCAAAGATAGTGCTAGCTGTCATTGTCAGAATTGGCCGGATGCTCTAGGAAAAAGTTCATGAAAAAACCAGGACAGAACAGTTCTGTCCTTGCATTAGTTAATGCAAGTCCCATGTACTACCAACCACTCCACAAAGTGTACATCAGTCAGTGTGATATAAAACTAACAAGATTTGGGAATATTCTTTTGTTATTTCTAAGATACATTCATATTCCTAAGGTACCTAAAAAAACTAAGTATTTCATTTGAGTTTGGTTTTGGGTATCAGATAAAGATTTCGATTAGAGCACATATATTTTTTCGAGTTTGCTATTCTGTGTATTATCTATTAGTGTCGGTTAACTGATGAGAACTGAAATGAAGAAAGCGACTCTAAAAATAAATAAAGCTCAAAAATAGACAACACAAACTTCAACAACGATACTGATGAAAAAAAAATCCATATTTCAGAGTAGCCAACGTAGAAAAAAATAAATGTCCTCAATCCAAATGGAATCCTTTTTCAGTGTTACCAATAAAGTGCAAAACCTGCGTATTTTGCGGTTTTATTTCTCTTTTTGGTATTAGCGAATTTCAACCCCCTTCTATTTTGCCTAGCCAGATGATGTTATCCACAGAATGGCTTATTACCATTCACTGTTTAATTTTTGGTGAAAGATTGTCCAAACCACTTCTGCTCTTTCGTATTCTGTACACCAATTACATTACCGATCGATCTATGCTATATATTTTTCTCGAAAAAATAACTTTTCTACGCTTTCGTAGAAAAGTGATACAAAAAAAAAACAAAACAGTAAAATAAACATCATTTGGTTCAATATGTTATTTGCTGTTTTCGAGAAAGAGTGAATAATTTGGCACAACCACGATACTAGCTATATTTTGGCGTGAAATTATTTCAATTTGCTCGAAATCATTCGTGAATAACGTCATATTTGTCAAATATCGGAAATAATTTCAAAACCATCTCAGATGTTTCGAAAAAATGATGGTGAAAGGAGGTAGTTCTGTCATTTATTTTGTTAAGATAAAATCTATTCAAATGGTATCAATGGCAAAAATGAATAATCATTGTTTTTCCAGTTTTGTTCATAAATAAATGTTTTTTGGAGGTTATGTTGCCGTTTTTGAGAATGCGTACTAACTTTTTAAAAGCAAACATTTTTGCGATTCTATGCTTGATGACATTGGTAGAAAGATATGATTGAAATAATTTCGAAATCATCGTAGCGAGAAAATATGACTATCGCTTTTGCTAGAAAAAACATTTTATTTGTTCTTTCTGGAAGCCGTTGACGTTTCACTTCTGTAAAATATCATTGTTTATATTTGTTCACCAAATGTTTTTACGTTTTATGTTCCGAAGTCTAAATAAAAAACAATAAAAGAAATATCCGTGGATGTGTTTTTTGATCGTGATACCAAGGTAATAAAACAGGTAAAAAATAACAACCGAAATTATCGAGTGCATCATAATAGTAATCAAGTGTAAGACATGCCACGCTGATTTTTGTTTCCAATAATAACTTACAAGTTTATAAAATATCCATATGAGTCCTACACTCCTAACGTTTCATTAAAAATTGTATATGCATCTGTACCTCAATTTCTGATAAGGTTTATCTACTGCACATTATTCTTTCTTAGATTGCTTCACGATGGACGGTGACGGTGCTAGTGTGGCGGCTCCTATAGATTTCATTACCCAATTCCACAATCTAGAAGGCGATTTAATTGGAGAAAGAAAGAAAAATCTCTTCAAACTCATTCTAGATCTGTCATCTTCAAAAAATGAGGAACAACTGAATAATGTAGTGGAAAACCTCAAGCCCACAAGTTACTTGGAAAATTTATTTAGATTAGACATTTTGATTCACTTCAAGAAGACAACGGAACTTGTAAAAGTACTTGAACAGGGTAATGAAGTTTTCATAAGCAAGATTTTGAAGCAGTTTTGGTTCATCGATGAGGCGTTCAGGGATATAGATGCCAAAATATTTGTTAATGAATTTCTGCCTAGTTTGTCCTACGCAATACGAATGAAACTAGTGAAAAAAGTTGCCAAATGTTGGAATGAAACTCAAATTGATGCCTTGTTCGATTCTTTCAGTGAAAGGTAAACACTTTTACATTTCATTGAATTATACATCATTCACCTATATATTTTTTTCAACTATAAACTAGAAGAAATTCCTTGATTAGTGTAATAAATGGTCATATTGAAATTAAATTCATTTGTGAGACAGCTACACAATGTGATAGATGTTGTGAAAGAATTGATATATCATTTGCATTAAAACTTTGTGCTACTGCCACAATTATTATCTCAAGGAGGTGTGCATTATATGGTAATCGTCAAGTTTGCAACCTACATCTAGTATTGAATATGTTACATACGTAAATGCAATTTCTAACATATGACTTTGTACTCCCTTCACAATTACTTTTTGTGTCCTCTCCTGCAAATAAGACTTCATCAGATCCAAAACAATCCATCAAATTCCATAGTTTCTGTACTTTTATTATTCATAAAGCCATCCTGATTTGATAAGAGTAGTTCATTCGTAGTGGAAAAAGACAATAATTGATTTTTTATATTGAGTTCGAATAGCTTGGAAATAGTTGAGAGTATTTCTATAGTTTTCATGAATGGTAGGTAGAACTGTAACCTCTGGAGTAGAATAAATCCAATGCAAACTCCAGAACTCCAACTGCGTTTCACCAACAGGTTGGCATCTTCAGAAGATGAAAAGAAACTAGTTAGTTTTGCTAGTTTTATTCAATCTCACGTGTCCAGAAGAGTGTTTTAGTTCTGGTATTTTGGAACAGTGCTTGTTTTGGATTTATGGTTTTCATATTTATTTGAATCACTTTTTTAAAAAATTGGGATAATAAGTGAATGATTTAAGCAGTTTGGCAAAACGTATGTTTTTCCATTTTGGATTTTTTTCTGGTCTGCATCAAGAAAAAATATTTGTGAACCATATACCCATTTATTTAAAATGTTGTCATTGATACTTGTTTTCTCCTTACTTGTTACGAAGTTTTCTGTTTTTTTGTATGTTTATAAAAGAAAAGAATGCCAAAAGAGGTTTAATCAAAACGTTTTTGGTCTATTGGAAGGAAATCGTCAATAAATATCTTGTAAATGTTGAATGACATAATAAGTTATCATTTTCTCTTTCAGGTATGGCATATTCTTAGCAACAACCATTTTGCACAAGTGCAGCTCCAACAAAATCAAAGAAATCTTAAATGAAAATGAAATCAAGCTAAAACCAGCGCAAGTTAAATATCTTTTCGATAAAGACGAAGAGATATTCAAGTTTTATTTGGACTACATTCATTCTTCAACTAACTGTTCTTATCAGGAGACCAAAGTATTGAACCACGTAGCTCTGAAAAATCCCCAGCTCCTGTTGGAGCTCCAGAAAAATAAGAAGATTCGTGTTTCGGGTTTGGGAAGAAGAACCAGCAAGAGAATCATAAAGCTTGTTAAAGATGATATACCTCGAGATGTTAAAAAATATGTGAATATGTTGAATAACGGTGTTATTGTTCGAAAGTTAGGAGGAAGTTTTGGGAAAGTTTACCAAGAATTGCTTTCAAAGAAAGTCGGTAATATCACCCGATATAATATTCACAGCAGGATGCTGATTCAGTATCCAAAAAAAACAAGATGGAGTTTTTTTTGCGACTCATACTTGAAAGTTTTTCCGAGTGATAGCGTCGAAGTCATCCTCTCAGCATTTGATACTTTTTTATTAGATCTAAACCCTGGCAGAGAGATAATCAAAAAATGGGCTCTAATCAATTACAATTCGAATAACGGTGACCATTTTTTGAAATATTTTGATCCGTCTGAAGCTATTCCAATCATAAAGGAAAAAATCAATGTCACTTCTGACATTTCAAACAGGACAACTTTGGTCATGTTATTACTGGATTGTTGTTCTACAAATAATGATTTGAACTCTCTGGAAGCAGTGCTGAAATATATTTGTTTCAGGTAGGGATATTTTCATTTAATAATAACTACATGTCACCAATGATTTTATTTAGAGACTATCATTAGGAATGAAAATAAAAACAAGTTGGGGTTTTGTTTGTGGTTTATGAATAAAGGCAGACAAGATCCGAACTTCTATAGAAATATTATATGTAATGATGAGGCTAATTTTTAAAATTGTGGAATGTATAATAGAAAGAATTTTCATTATTGGAGTAGACATAATCCATTTCTTGTCCATCCCCTCAATGTGCCAAGGCTATTTAGTATTAATGTTTAGTGTGGTCTAATCTGGCATCGAGAAGGTCATTTAAAATGCTACTAGTTTTCCCATTTAACCGAATTCGTAACATCAATAACGACGGAGTTGGCAATGGTGCCGACCTAATTTGGAACAACCTGTATATCTATCGTCAATGATAAATAAATGTTGGTATTATTTTTTTCCATTTGGGCTGTAACGTTAACTAGATATCTTGTTTCAGGCATCGAAATGAAGACTCCAACTTCAGACAAAGGGTGATGAGCCAGATAACCTCAAATTTCAGGCTCGATGACTTCAACGAGAACCATTGGAAGTATATCAATGAGCAGTTGAAAATCGACAGGGTAAAAAAAGAATTCATCTTCTGGATGAATTCCACCATTTTGAAAAAACATCTAGAGTTTCTTTTTAAGAACGGAAAAGACCACAAAGACGCTCTAGTTGAATATATTAATGACGTCGTTGATTCGGATAATGACTTCGACTTGAGTTTGGAAAATCCGCCTGTAGAAAGAGAAATTTTAATAGATATCAGTAACTGTGTGTTGGACGTCATTAAGGGTGAAAAAGCTGATAAAACAATCAAGACTGTCATAGGAAACGTCACCGATTTCAGTATGAAACATGCCCAGTATTGCATAAAATATACTGAATGCCCCATGTTGCTCTCTGCTATTCGATCATGTTTTTCGAAAAATGAAAATTTTGATGTTGACGACATCGTCGTAGTTCGAAATGTGTTGCTATATAATTTGAAATTTCCACAAAACCCTTTCCCTATTGATAACTCCAGGCTTCTTGAAGTATTTGTGTTGGTTGCCAAAGAAGGCGGAATTAATAAGCTGTCAAACATCTTTCGTGAACGGCTCCTCAAGAAGAATCGTTCTGAATTCGAAAATAAAATTTTGAATGAATACTTGGAGAAATTATTATATGACCACCTTCAGCGTTACATCATTCTCTGGTTATTGAAAAATGAACCTAGAAAACTGCTTCCGCATTTCGATAACATACTTGAGATAGACAATTCAGCAGTGGATAGTAAACTAACCAAACTTTATTCGCACTTTGAGTTTGACAAAAAAGCAATCAATTTTTTCAAGAAACAATTGGAGTCGAAAAATCGAAATGAGAATTTAATAATGGCAAATTTGGGTGTACTTCTTTCCACTGATGATTTTGTAGCTTTGGCCAATACATTTTTGCCGAAAAAGGTCAAGGTTGATTTGGAGGATCCAGAAATGATGAAAGATTATAAATTGCAATGTGAAGTAAGTAATAATGGGTATGAAAATGAAACACCACACTTTTTAAATATATTTATCTCTTATATATTCGTAAATCCACTTCAACTTTTCATATTGCTGATTGAGTTGGCACATGCTTCTCGTTGTGCAGTCGCAGACACATCGTATGTGTGGTCAATTGAAAAATTTCAATAAATGCTGCTACTAGGCAAAAAGAGGAAACTTATCTAGAAACACTTTCTTTTCATTTTTCTTATACTCATATAAGTATGCATTTTTTGAAAATTTTGAAAAACACTTATTTTATGATATACTTTGAATTTTCCAAACAAAATGTTATTTTTTTTGCGAATTTTGATATTTGCAAGGCCCATTTCATCCGTTGAAATGTTTACATTAAAATGGTCATATGTTTGTGGAAAATGGAATTGGGAAAAATGAGAAATCTGAATTTCACAATGAATTTAGATAAATTAACATTGTACCAGCATGGTACACATGTGTACACACACACTCAGTCAACTGATCTTCAGTATTTCCCATTTCAGCACATGTTTACACATATCGTATCATTTTAAGAATAAAGATCTATCATTATCTGTGTCAACCAATTCATACAAAACAAATTTTATACATAAAACCCTCTCTTTAATCACTCAATCTATTGGTGATAGACATGGCAGACAACTTTAATTTATAATATTGATTATTTTATATATTACCCGATTTTTTTTTCAGCTCGCCAAGTTGTTGCATAGAGTCCACGAGCCGCACAAAACGTTGCCGGTTGTAATAAAGTTCTGCATCGGCGATTACCTGCAGTCATCCTTGTCGGCCCTTTACGGCTGCTTTTATCGTTCGCCGGAAAAAATGTTGTATCCCTACGTGGAGCATCTGGCGACGAAGGCCGTGTCCGTGCGGAAACATGCGATTTTCCTCAGTTGCGAAGTACTCGATACAAATGAAGTAATACGAGTGCTGAAGAACGCCAAACAGGTGAACGTGTCTGATCAGAAACACTTATTTTCAGCAATGTTGAAATATTTCTGGAAGAATCCTTCACAAGAACTCTTCAAGGTGGTCGTCGCCGGTATCGAAACCATTGACAAAAATGATACTGAAGCTATGGAAAGCCTGGCTACTAACATTAAAATTCCCAAAAAATATATGGCTGAATACATCGAGAAATGCTGGATTTGGTTTGAGAGCTTGAGTGAAAAAGGGGTGAACATTCGAACATATTTAAAAGCTCTTTTAGATTATATGTCTGATGATATTGTGAAATCTTTTTCTTCCGAATTCGTAAATGGGCTTCTAACCCGCTATTTTGGCACACAAGATGTGTCAATAGATAAGTTTATGACTTTCACTATGCAAGTCTTGAAACATCGAGTGTTGGAACGTGACAACAATTTCAAGGTGGTGTTCGGAAAGCTGCCCAGATTAGACAATAACGGCATCACCACATTCTTCACGTGTTTCATAAACTCTTGCAGAAGTGAAGAAAGAGACAAAGAGTTTATCGACACTTTTGTCCAATACTGGAATACTCATTTTGCAGATATAGATATGTTCGAGGAGAAAATCAGGCTGAAGCTGCTTCTAATAGAGCTTGATCAACAGTCTGGAAAGGAGTATGCGCAAAAAGTTGTGTCGCTCCTAGAAGAACTTAATTCTCTTTACGGTTCTCACGTCTTCAATATATTTAGGGATCAACTCTGCGAGTCCCTAGAAAACTTGAAAGATATTCAGAAATATTCTTTATATTTGGAAATTTTGAAGTATAAGTGCAATCCTACCAATTGCATTTTGATTATAGAACTAATGAAACAAAGTGTCGAACTTGGGGATGAAAAGGAAATTTACGAGGAAATCATGAACATTTTAAGGGTCGTGGATGAGCCTATTGTGAAAATTTATTTCAAGTCACTTGTAAAGAAAGAATGACTTTCCAACCTCCACGTTTCTCAACATCATCTACGGATTTGGGAGAAAAATTTTTGACTTCATACAATGACTGAACTGCCATAAATTTGTTCTCTAATCCTATTCAAGATTGATACAAAAACTTCACTCACTTTAGTTAGGGTTCAAGTATATAAGAGAAAGAGATTAAGCATTCACTATGCATTATTCTCACCATGAATAATTATTATTTTATGTGTTTGTACAGTTGCTTTTTGAAATATATATTAGTATTGGTGTATTAATTTTATATCAACCTCATTTAATTTCAATCACAAAATCTTAGACTTTTGTTTTAATGAATTATTTTTCTTTTTTTTTTTAATTTCATAACCTCCTA